ACTTTGTCTTAGGCTTTAACCCGCGGTTGTTCCCTGTAAACTGTGAGGGGGAAGAAGTCGGTGCAAATGTTAAGTCTTGGATTGAGCAACACCAAAATGATTGGGCCACATGGCGAGATAGGTTGTGGGCGGCGCGCGTGTCTCAAGCGATGCAATACAACACTAGACGGGGGGAAGATGTTCCTTTGCAAGTGGGTGATTGGGTTCTTATCGACAGCAAGGACCGTCAGCAACTGCTCAAAGGCCCGGTCAGCAAGTTGAAAGCACGGTTCGACGGTCCTTACGAGGTCCTTGAGGTTCTCAAGGAAGGGCGTAATGTGCGGGTTCAGCTCAACAATGGGGATCATAGTCATCCGACTTTCCATCAATCGAAGCTCTGTCGGTACGTTTCAGATGAGTTGGCAATGGGGGAGTAAGGGAGGTCGTTAGTACTTATGGGGGCAAAAGTACGTTCTCTCCTCTTGTATGCACCGCCTGGTGGTCTACTACCGTTTTTTGTAAGCAATACCTTGGCCACGCTGTGAGCAATTCGTTGGTGTCTGTCAATTTTTTTCTTAGGACATCGACGCCACGGGGTCACGATATTCGATCACGGTTTCTTTCCTTTTGTTTCCTTTCTTTTCTTTTCTTAATTTCTGTTCTTTAGTTGGTTGTGGATTTCCTTTCTTTTTTATTTCATTTTCCTTTATTTTCTTTGTTATTGAGTTGTTTAAGAGGGGCCTTTTTGTTTTTAGGTGGGGAGGGTGTAAGGTTACCCAGGTTACACCTTACAATATCACATATGTGACAGGTTGCATCATCTAGTCTTACAGTAGTGAACATGTTGTTGTTGTAGTTTCTTCCTCATCTCTTCTATTTCTCTATAGTGTGCTTGTTTCTCGTTGTTTGGATTTTCTTATATCTCTGATGGGCTGTTTGAGCTAGGTATGGATCTTTCTGGTTTCTTTTCCCTGATCTCTTCTATTTCTCTATAGTGTGCTTGTTTCTCGTTGTTTGGATTTTCTTATATCTCTGATGGGCTGTTTGAGCTAGGTATGGATCTTTCTGGTTTCTTTTCCCTGATCTCTTCTATTTCTCTATAGTGTGCTTGTTTCTCGTTGTTTGGATTTTCTTACATCTCTGATGGGCTGTTTGAGCTAGGCCTAGCGTTTTCAATACATTTTGGTTATAGGTACTCCTGGCTTATAGCCATCCATGAGCATCTTAGTGTTGTTCCTTGATAGGAACTTCCACCTAAGGAACTTATCTCCTGGCTAACATACAAAGACCTGAATACCACATGCAAACACATAAGAACTGCACAAGATGCTCATACTCAAGAAAATTCTTCCTTTCTCATAA